TCCCAATGTCTCCCTCCTTTCCTATTCTCTCTCTCTCTCTCTCTCACTCTATTCCTCCACCTCTCCTTTCTTCCTCTTTCCCTCACTCTTCCTCTCTCTCTTTCTCCCCCCTTCCCTCCCTTCCCTTCTCTCTCTTTCACTCTATCCCTCCACCCCTCCTTTCTTCCTCTTTCTCTCTCTCCCTCTCCCCTATCTCCCCCCCGTCTCTCATTTTCTCTCGGAGCTCGTCGTACGCCCGCCACCCCGCTGTGCCTCTCGAATCTCGCTAATGGCTGTTGCTCATTTGACAACAACGCATCCTTTCGCATTTCGCTCGAACGTGAGACCGCAAATCTCACCAGATCAGTCTCGCGAAAAGGGGTAAATTGCTTTCTCACTAAGGACGACGCATGATAAACCACTCAGTGGCGCGCTTGCTTTTAAGTGATGTTTGTGTTTATCGATGTGGAAAAGCGAGGCCGCCAAATGCTTGTTTTGCAGGAGGGGAATGGAGAGAGGGAGGGGAGGGGAGGGGAGAGGAGGAAAGGGGAGAAGGGAGAAGGGGGAAGGGAAAGGGAAAATGGATGGGGAGGGGAAGGGAATGGAGGTGAGAGGAGGGGAGGGAAGGGGAGGGGAGGAAAGGGGAGGGGAGGGGAGAAAAAGGGGAGGGGAGGAGAGGGAGAGGAGGGGAGGGAAAGGGAGGGGAGGGGAGGAAAGGGGAGGGGAGGGGAGGGGAAGAGAGGGGAGGGGAGGAAAGGGGAGAAGGGAGGGGAGGAAAGGAGAGGGGAGGGGAGGGGAGGGGAGGAAAGGGGAGAAGGGAGAAGGGGGAAGAGAAAGGGAAAATGGATGGGGAGGGGAGGTGAGAGGAGAGGACGGGAAGGGAGGGGGGAAGAGGGACGGAAGGGGGAAGGGGTAAGGGAAGAAGGGTTGGAGAAGGGAAAGAAAGATGGGAGAAGAGGGGGAAGAGAAGGGGAGAGGGGCAAGGGGAGAGAGAAAAGAGAGGGGAAGGGAAGGAAGGGAATGATGGAGGAGGGAAGGGTGAAGGGAAAAGGTGGAATGAAGGAGGATAGAGGGGAAAGGCAAGAGGAAAGGAATAAAGGAGAAATGGAGAAGGAAAGAGAGAAGAGGGGGAGGAAGAAGGGGAAAGGAGGATGGGAGAAGAGAATATAGAAGAGGAATGAAGGGAAGGGAATGGAAAGGAGGAGGGAAGGTGAAAAGGGGAAAAGGAATGGAGGAGGGAAGAATGAAGGAGGGAAATGGGGATGGAGAATAAGTGAGGAGAGAAGAGAGAGAGGGAAAATGAGGAAGGGGAATGGGAAGGAGAGGAGAGAAGATGGAAGGAAGAAAGAGAGGGAAACAAAATGACGATAAAGAGAGAAGGAAAAGGTAGCATACAATAGGTTTACCAACGAGTTTTCTAATTTCCAACGTATCCAAAAGCAGAAGAAATCTGATGTTTATTCAACCACGTTTTCATCAACGAGAACAATATTTCCCTTAAAAAAAACAAACAAATGCATCTCATATGTCGAGAGAACGCGACGAAAAAAATATTTCCTTCGTATTGCACGAACTCGAACGACATTGCATGAAAGGTGAAAGGTCATCATTGTCATATTTCCCCCTTTATGTTGCACGTGACGTCATAATCAACATAGCCACGTTGTAACCATGTGTCAGAGGCAGTTCACCATGATGGCCAAGAGCACAAACAATGTTAATTTTTCTAATTTCATTTTTTAAATCTTTTTAAACTTTTTTTTTTGTTCCAGTTTTAAGTGCGTATAGAATAATGGACAGAGATTAATGGAGTAATAGAGAGTAGTAGGAATAAAAAACGGATGGGTGGGAAATGGAGATCGAGAGAGAAAGAGAGAAAGAGAAAGAGAGAAAGAGAGAGAGAGAGAGAGAGAGAGAGAGAGAGAGAGAGAGAGAGAGGGAGAGGGAGAGAGAGAGAGAGAGAGAGAGAGAGAGAAAGAGAGAGAGAGAGAAAGAGAGAGAGAGAGAGAGAGAGAGAGAGAGAGAGAGAGAGAGAGAGAGAGAGAGAGAGAGAGAGAGAGAGAAAGAGAGAGAGAGAGAGAGAGAGAGAGAGAGAGAGAGAGAGGAGAGAGAGAGAGAGAGAGAGAGTGA